ACCGAGAGGATATGCCAAAGTGAAAAAGTGTTTTGTGAAGTAAACTAGAAAGCGTTGGAGTCTCTGGGATTAGCTCTGCTGCTCTCTAGAATGTATGAGTTGTCATTATTGGCTTCGAGGTCCTCTTTATTTATTGGGATAGGAGGTCGGTTGCTTCAAACTTCTTTTCGTTTTTGCCTTTGGTAAATATTTCCATATTTGCGATATGGAAATATCCCTTATTCTTCAACGAATAAGAAAATTCGCCTTTATCCTTCGAGTTGATCCGATGTTTCCGGTCTTCGATGGTTATCTTTAAGGTATTTCTTTTAGTTCGAGCTAGATCGGCACAGTCTTCATGGTTCTGATGGACTTAAGTTATTGCTAGAGAAAACCTTTTAGGAAATGTGTTTAATTCCCCTCTAACAGTAATTAAGTAGAATTATGATATGGAGTTTAGTAAAATTTTGTACTAAACTCCAAAATGCCGAGTTAGTTTGTGTTAAATGAAAAAAAAAAAAGTAGTTTGTGTTATGATTTTAAGAAATTAAATTCTTACACATTGGTCCACTCCCACTACTGATCTGTTAGTTCGAAATGTTGTCTTAGGACCGAACTAATCTACTTGTAATTTTGTAATATTCTGTGTTAAGGCTACAAATTAGATAGCCATATCCAAGTCGGGGCTCGTTAACATATATCACATATTTCATGTTGGGGCTCTGTAGAAATGGTGGCTAGCGGAGAAGTGGCATTGGGCTCTCTCGCGTTTCATCGTCTCAAGTCGTTGAGGAGATCCCTTATGATTTCGAGCTTCAATATCTCTGGCCATTTAATCTTTTTTTTTTTCAGATTAGGACAATGTAACTTGTGATTTGTATGCCATTCAAATTTCTACCCGCATAATATAGTTTGTTGATTATTTTTTTTTTTTTTTTCTGTATTCCATCTTTTGAAAGATAATATTGTAGATTTCTTGTTTTTGAGGTAAAAAGGCAAAGGATTCTGATCGTCCGATGTTCATCAATACTAATAAAAAAATAACTAATATTTCTTCAAATATAATATCTTATTTTTACATAGGAAACCCAGAAAACAAAATAAGACGATACAATAATCGAACATCACTAGTAGACATGCTTAATAAATAAGAAAACATAAGGGGGTTCATATTTATACAAGTGCTGCCATTATTTCACATACCCATACGTTTTATTTTATGATACAATATTTAACTTTCACATCTATATATATCGTTTCACGATTTCTTCTGAGTTATCCTCCACCACCACCACCATTGTTATCGCCTCCGGCTCCATAGTTGTTGAAATCTTGTCTTGGAATGTAATGGTGATTCTCCACGCTGCTTCTTGGGTGCTCTATTTTTTCAGTTAAGTCTTCTTCTTTGCCTATCATCTCTTGGGATATTTTCTCGTATTCTTGATTACTTTCTAGCGGAATTGTATTCCTCGCAGCCGAACAAGAGCATACCATGATCATCACCACCATGACAAAAACCACAGTATGCTTAGGTTTTACCCCCATCTCGGTTTTACATTATGATCGAGCTGCAAAAGAAAAACAGACTTAGTCTTTAGAAATTACGAACATTCAAGATCTTATTGAATTGACATGAAATGAGAATCACTTACCTTTGCAACTAAAATTTAATATAAGCTTAGATGATTTTAGTTAGCTACCCTTAAGAGGAAGAATGTGGAGAGTTTAAGACGTTAATATGTTATATACACGCATGAAAGATTAGGGTTTTTTGTTTCGGTGGGTTGACTATTTGAGATATATGTTAGATTTGGGTATGATGTGGCTGTCCTAGTGGTGAGGCAATCACAAGTGGGAGAGGCCTTTGATTGGAATTCGAAATTTTGTTGTAATTGTTTTCTCCTAACAAGGAAAGAATGGTGATGGTAAAATGATGAAGTTGGTTGACAAATGGGTTGTCTATTATTGACACTACAAATAGGGAAAATCCACGTTACTTTGTGGATTAGTCATCAAGTGGTGGTTTTGAAAAGTAATTAGGATTTATCTAAAGCACCTGAGTAATTACATTTTTCATTCACTATTTGAGATACTTTAAGAATATATATGTTATTGGAAACGCCTCTTCTGGCAAGGCATGGTCCTGAAATAGTAGCAGAGCCAAAATGGTACAAACGTTATTGTAACATCCCAATTTCTGCTATATAGTGATGCATGTGGAGAGGTATAGTTTAAGAAAATTGATTTGATTGCATATATTATCAAAGTGCATGTATATTTTCATTCATTTGTCTTCACAGAACTATAGAGTTAAACGTGATATTGGGAAAGGATTTTGGTACCATGTAAGTGAAGATAGAATATGATTTGTTAGGATTAATATATCAAATCTTTCAAGCCTCTGAGTTAACGCACCACCCATCAGACGACGAGGATAGGGCTCATATGCTGAGATAAGGCGTGGAAGCCTACAGACGGTGGCACTCGAGGCGTTACAGGTTCTACATTTGTAAATTTGTATTTAGCACCCATTTATAAACTATATACTTTTGATATATTTTTCTGCTTCCGTCGGTAAACAAAAGTTTCGCTACCACCACTAAAAAGAGTACAATTTTGTGTTTAGATAAGGAGGTGGGCCAAAGTCCAGTATGCTAATTAGATGATCCCTCAAAAAAAAGTTTCAACAGATAACATCTCGGCGAGGCGAGAGTGGTCGGACGAACCATAGATTTTGTAGAAAGGCCGGATCTCAGACGTAGGTTCTAAAGCATTTATCTGAATGAGATTTGTATGTGTGCATATTGAAATCTGTAGAGATTTATAGGGAAGGTTAATGTATTTACAGTTATAACTATCAAAAGCAAATTTTGATAGAAACGTATATAAATTAAATTTGTATACGAACGTATTTTAGTTTTTACATTTTAGAGAAAACGGTTCTTTAGATTTAGTTGATAACTACGATTTAATTGTCTGAATATGTTTTATAAAGTTTAGTTATGTTTTAATCAAAAGTGAAGATAAATTTTAGCATTGGAAACTTTCTTCCACTACTAAAAGTTGGAATCAAATTGATTCATTAATAACCTTTAACAGGATTAATTAAACTATAAAGTAGAATAAATTACAGATTTCTAGCTTTAATTATTCTCTGTGGGTGGCAAGTTATATTTATTTATTATCAGTAACTATTCCAATTTATGCTGTAAAAATGTCACCCTTTGTCATCATATGAGAGTTCTATTCAACTTTCGGAAGAACAAAATGGATTTAATATGGTAAGTATGAATCATCAAACTTCATAATGTTCTTCCCACCTTTGAATAAAATTATATAATACGAATAAATTCCAATTTAAAATCATAATGACATCTGAAATCTGAAAATTTTATGCATCGAAAGTCTTTTCACTCACAGTTTTGCCAAATTATATCAAAATGGTGACGTTTTAATTGACTTCTAGATGTTTGGTGACGTTTTTAGCTCTGAAGGTGTGAAGTCAAGCAAGCATTTAAATAAAAAACTTGGTGACATAAATTGGTTCCCCGAAAACCAAAACACGTAAGACACGGAAGCTAAAATTTACAGACAAAGAAATAAGACATAAACATTTTTTTTTTTGTTAAAAGAAATAAGACATAAACTTAGAAAACTAAGGTGCAATATTTGAAATGAGCAACCTTTAAAATGAATAAAGAGTAACCATCTTGTTATTAAAAAACAGTTTTATTTGGTACCATTGCTGCTGAAAAAGCAAATTTAAGTTTACTGCAAAAGAGTTTTAAACTTACTTTGTAGAGCAAGGTACAACACGTTATTGGTTGATTGTTTTGGTTTCGACTGTTTTTGGCATCAAAAAGAGAATTATAGCATTGACACTGTAAGGCATAAAAAATAAGGACCTAGGATCGGTCAACGCATCTACAGACTACAGATGAACTAACCAACAGGTAAAATAACTTATTGGATAAATTTGCTCAGTAAAATTTTCGAAAAAACAAGTAGGCAATAAGAACACTACAACGACTGAATATAAAACACCATTACATAACTTACATAAGGATATGTCATTAAGAAATGACCATAATTTTATCTACAAAAACACGTATTTAGATTCGCATGCAAGCAAAGAAACATATCAGAATTTACACAAAACCCTATAAAAAAGCACAAAACAAAAAAAGCTACGGGTAAACCCCTAAAACAACAGCTTAAAAATAAACATGTAACCCAATATGATATATAAGATACGCAAAGTACTTATAGGAAAAATAATTTAAGGTTTAAACGTTTAAACTTCTTTTGTTATTTATGATAATTCTTGAAACCACCAAATTTCGTTATATTATTCTATAAACGTTTTATTACTTTTTCTATAACCTTGATAAATATAGATACAAATTTATCATCATAAGCAATGTAGTAATTATCCTTTTCGAATTATTAAAACAATTCAGAATTTTTTTTTCTGTTTTGGACGGAAGTATATTCTTTAAATCAAAATATATAAAAGGTTAAGTTCAGGTTTTTAGAGGGAAATTATCGATCTAAGGCGTGAAACTTTTACGCAAGATGGCAAATAGACATAATTACCCAATAGATTACTTGTATTCGTTAAGAGTATAAAAGTAGTTAAAATATTCAACTGTCAACCACATGTAATTATATATTCTTTTTTATTATTTGATAGATGTTTATTAATTTTTTACAATAACCTACTGATAAACATAAATACAAATTTATCATTATAAACGATGTGGAAGTAATCCTTTTTGGATTAAAACCATTTGGACTTTGGAGTATATCCTTTTTGGTTTTAGAATATAAAAGAAAGCAATTTTTTCGTTTCTAGTTCCAGTAATACACAATATAGCAAAAAAGACATAATTATCCAATATGTTACTTATATTGATTAAGAGGGTATCCTAGCGTATATATTATAGCTATGCGTATATATATATATATATATATATAGACGTAAAATATACATTACTTAACTTTGTTTCAAACAAGCAAAGATGGCACACAAGGATGTCGTTGTACATGAAGAGGAAGATCTCAGAGCTGCAATGCAGAAACTTCCGATCCCTTTCAAGGAACTCGAACAAAGCTCCATAGATTCGGATTACGATGGAATAAGAAAAATCATAGAAGATCCAAATTTATTAGTGAGTTTCCTATCAAACTATTTCAGTTTTGGATTTTTAGTTTAAATAAAACACAATGTATGTATGGTTTTCAATGTGGTTTAGTTTGAGGATTCTCGAGAGCTTCAAGAACATCCTACCGACAACATAACTAGATTCTCCTCAAATTCATCGAGAGTACCGTCTCGTGCACCAAAACGACAGAGAAATAGACAAGCAAGACGAAAAAGAAAGGGTTTCGAAAGTGGGGCTCGTGACTTTGATGATTCTGAAGTTAACATTACATGCAAAAGTTGTTTACATTGCGGGACTAGAAACACACCCTTGTGGCGGGAAGGTCCAAAAGGTGCGGGAACGCTCTGTAATGCGTGCGGGATGCGATACAGGAAGGGTCAGCTACTTCCCGAATACCGCCCGGCATCAAGTCCCGGTTTCAAACCTAATGTTCACTCTAATTTTCATCGGAGGGTTATGGAAATCAGAAGCAAGAGGAACTCCCCTCCTCCCAATAGCTTCGGGTTTTGAGGATTTATATCAGAGTAGTACTAGTAAATTAGGGTTTAGTCTGTTTTCAACAGGTTTAGGGGCTTTACAGGGGAGGATACTTTTAGGTTCCATTTTAACATTATTCAGTTTATTCTTTTCTAAAACAGGTATATTTTTTACTTTTCTCTTCTAAATGTGTTCTACATCTAAGATTTGAACTATCATTATAGCACCAGATGGGAGTAAGATTTAAGTTTGAAGAACGATATTTGTTTTATGCTTATACATGAATTTTCTTCAAAATTTATTCATTATTGAATAAAGCTAATGCCTGAATCGAGTCAAACACTTCTTCTGCTACAATCTAGATCACATAAATTCAAACCGAACACAATTCATTAAAATAACAATTTCAATCACAAAAAGTATAATTTTGCACGTGTAAGGATGAATGGGCTCGTGCTCCATGTGCCAGGTAAAATCGATGTATAAAGGTCCAAGAATATAACAAAGGATGCTAGCTGATAAAATTTTAGAGACAAAAAAATAAATGGCCATAACCATTTCTTTAGATTTTTATACAAACTTATCATTTAGATTGAATTTACATATTTCTAAAATTTAATAAGACTTACATTACAAATGACAAAATAGCCACATCCTAACTGTTTAATCCATTATCTATCAAAGAAGATAAATTACAGAAGGAAAGCCAGAAAATGATTCATTCTATTTATTGTTATTGTATTCATATTAATATATATATATATATATATATATATATATTTTGTTTATTTTCTTATAACCTTTTGCACCCAAAATGATTAAAGAAGTTATTTACATGACTTCACACATTTCAATTTCAAATAAAAAACTTTAAAGTGACTAAACACTTTATTCTTGAACATGTAATTGATTTCTACATCACTTGGGGCTTAAATCAAGCTTCAAAAGTTGTCATTTTGGACGACAACAACCTTAATTCAACTATGTACAACTCTTTTTTTTTTTTTGCTAAATTGTAATTATTCATTAAAAATAAAATGTTTAGCTGTTATAAAATGTGTTAACAAATTGATTTACCTAATGCTTGGTCCTATAGCCAAAAAAGGATAAAACATAGAAGTAAATTTAATCGGTCGAAAGCATAGCTTTAAAGTAATTAGTATTATTAAATAGCGATAAGGAACTTAAAAACTTGAATAGAAGCGAAAGCCGTTATTAAATCGAAAGGAGAGATCTAGAACACGAAGAACCCTTAGATAAACGTTACTATGCAGAACTTGCGGTTTCATGCGGCAACCCAAAAAAAGAATCTTTACTCAAAGGAGCAAGCTGAGGCCCGAATAAAGACCATCGTCAACATCTAACATTCCACGCATTAAGACGGGACTACACTAGCTAGCATAGCCTAGAAGCGCCTGTCTGTTAGCACAAAGCCAAGCGTCAAAAACTCATTAGCCTTACTACCTGAGTTTGAAGAAAGCCAAGCGTCACAAACTCATTAAACTCATTAGCCTTACTACCGAAACACAAAGGAAACGCAACACATAATTGAACTTGAAGAACCTCTAACAAACCGCACAATAGAATTAACTACTCGCACCCAAGTAAACAAGCATACAAACTGAACCCTTTACAAAAAGTAAAGAGTCACGAAAACCAAACAACAAACCAGGACGTGAAGCTGAGAAGAAGACTAGAATCCCTGAAGCATATGAGACACGACATCACCGCCACCACCGTGAAACTCCTACTCCATCACGGAAACCGAACAATTTCTACAAACTTCGTTGCTGCAAGCCTGCAACAACACAACAACACTTGAAGCTCTATCTAGAAGCTTGCCATATTCGAGCAGAGAATCCAGAAGAGCGACATGATGCTGCTGTATTGTCTCACAGTTAGAGGGGAAATAAGCACATTTCCTAAAAGACTTTTTCTAGCAGTAACCTAAGCCCATCAAGACTAGGAAGACTGCGCCGACTTAGCTCGGATTAAAAGAAAACTCTTAAAGACAACCTTCGAAGTCTGGAAACATTGGATCAACTCGAAGGATAAAGAAGAATTTTCATATTCTTCGGAGAATAAGAGATATTTCCATATCGCGAATATAAAAATATTCACCAAAAGAAAAAAGGAAAAGGAGTTCGAAACAGCCGACTTCCTATCCCTCTATAAATAAGAAGACTCCGAAGCCAAGAAGAACAACTCATACAGTATAGAGAGCAGCATAGCTAAAACCAGAGACTCCAATGCTTTCTAGTTTACTTCACAAACACTTTATTTCACTTCGGCATAACCTCTCGGTTATCCCATTCTTTTTAATCGCTTCACTTATTAATATTAATAAAAGATCTTATTTTCCGAAACCCACAACTGTTAATCAAAACCCTAGTGGTGATTTTCTGGTTCAACAGTTGGCACCGTCTGTGGGGACTAGGAGAATAGAATTCTTAAAAAACCAGTAACTAAAAACCGAAGCGATGAGTCTCCCAATCGATAACAGCGACCTCATCCGTAACTACGGCGATATCACCATGCATACTGAGACGCTTGCTCTCAACGAGCAAGACGACACTGCCGCCGCGATCCTGCCACCCACGTACAACATCCAGCAATTCCTACATGATCTTAGGAGGGGAATTCGACGATCCCATTTCGCTAAAGGAAATAAGATATCCCGAAGAAAGAGCGGCGGATGCGAAATGCAATCCGATCACCCCGGAAAGCGAAGCACCAATAGATTTCACAGCGGAAGATCTACGCGGTTGGCATACGCCACACATTGACCCACTGGTCGTAACCTTACAAATCCACGAAAGCACAGTCACCAAAGCTTTGGTTGACAGCGGGAGTACTGTCAATATCATATTCAGAGACACATTGGCGAGGATGAGCATCAATGAAGGAGAGATAACAATAACGGCAGAACCGCTAACAAGATTTGCAGGCAACACCTCCTACACCATCGGCTCAATACATCTGATAACTTACATCGACGGCATAACTAAGAAGGCTAAATTCGCAGTCATCGACTGCCCGACGATCTACAACGTCATACTTGGGACTCTGTGGATCCACGCCATGAAGGCCGTCGTCTCGATATACCATCAATGCATTAAGTTCCCAACGCCGACCGACACGTTCACACTACAAGGCAACCAATCAACAGCACGATTGTGCCTCCTCAGCGAAAGGAAAATCAGGACGGCGGCTACATGCATGGTAAATGAAGACTTAGATCCACACTGTCCCTTTCCCGTTGGCATCGACAACAGATCCTGCATTACACCGAACGATTCCAGTGGAAATTATTGAGCAACCTAGCATCCAGCTATCCAAAGGAGCTTGCAATGTGGTTCTCCACCAGGAAGATGAAGCGGACGACCCAATGGAAGTCAACGCCGAACAACAAAAGCAATCTTGGCAAGACGAAATTAAGTCCTACTTGTTCGAAGGGATGGTCCCGGAGGATAGATGGGCATCTACACGCCTCCAAAGAAAAGCATCGCAATATTTCATTGAAGACAGAAACCTGTTCCGATGGACAGCAAATAAAGTAATATTACGATGCTGTGATGAAGCGCAAGCAAAGAGAGTTATGGTTGAAACTCATGAAAGAGCAGGCGGAAACCATTCAGGAGGAAGGGTATTAGCATTAAAAATAAAGAAGCACGGCCTATTCTGGCCTAGAAAGATCCAAGATTGTGAGTAGTTCGTACTACGGTGCGAACAATGTCAGAAACATGCGCCCATCACCAACGCACCCACCGAACTCCTTCAGACCGCGGTCCCGCCGTACTCCTTCATGAGGTGGTTGATGGATGCAATTGGCCCAATGCCCAAGTCAGGTCGCATTTAACACATTCTTGTCATGACCGATTACTTTACGAAGTGGGTCGAAACTAAAGCATACCCCACTATAAAGACAATTGACGTCCAACTTTTCGTATGGGAATACATCATATGTCGACACGGTCTCTCATACGAGATCGTCACAGATAACGGCTCACCACTTATCGCCTCAACTTTCCAAAATTTTTGTGAGGTATGGGGAATACACATAAGTTATTCAACGCCTTGCTACCCACAGGGCAACGGACAAGCGGAGGCTTCTAACAAAACTATCCTCGTCGGCATTATGAAAGGCTTGACTGACCTAAAAGCAAGTTGGTCAGACAAGCTAGACGGAGTCCTCTGGTCGCACCGAACTACTCCTCGAACGGCAACAGGGGAAACTCCTTTTTCGCTATCTCACGGCTGTGAGGCTTTAGCGCCAGCCGAACTGCACGTACCTAGTGCTCGGCGAACTTTGATGATTCGGGACCCTCAGTTGAATGGAGAATAGCTAATCAACGTTGTCGACAACGCAGAAAAACTTCGCAACAAAGCTTTGTTACGTATTCAGAATTACCAGCAGGAAGTGTCTAAGTATTACAACAAGAAAGTCCGAAGCCGACTATTCTCGCTACACGAACTTGACTTTCAAAGAGCTATAAATCCGATGAAACTCGAGGCAAACTGGGAAGGACCATATCGCATTTCAAGAGTCGTCAAACCCGGGGTCTATAGATTGGAAGATATGAAAGGAGAGCCGGTTGAGCGGGCTCGCAATTCTATGAATCTAAGGAAATATTACCTTTTAAAACCATAACTCGGTAAGAGATGTGTTAATAAGAACTACGGATGACTTGATCCCACTTTGGGCACATAGGCAGCCCTCGGGTCCAGTCACTATTCTAATAAAACTATCTTTGTCTTTGATAACCAGCTCAACGCTCAAAGTAAAAAAGAAAATGAGATAGCTGGTCTAAAACGACCATTAAATCAGCTCGGCGTGTAGAGTTATGTTATGCGCATGTATCTTGCCGAGTCAATGTTTTGGCAAAACATTCGATTCGAAAAAAGCATAAAAATTAAATTAGTGGCTGATCACAACTCCTTTGATACTTCAGTTCGATTTAATTATTTCCAAAGTAGAAAAGACGAAAGTCGAGGACAATACTCGCTCCACCCTCAATCATACCTTTCAGGCCAAAGCGAATCCTAAATGCTTGTTATTCGATCTTGATTGTCATTTGGTATAAGACGAGCAAATGAATCTCGCTTTCAGCACCGGCCTAAAGAATGCCCCCGCACCGCAAGGCAAAAGAAACTTTTGACTTTGCAAAAACCTTAAAATTAAGGGCTACCTCGTCAACGAGTATAAAACAGCATGGATAATAAAACTATCAAATTGCCTTTATTCACTAAAGAAGCATTCGTCTTACGTACATTTTT